ATTGTACGTCTAATATTCACTCTCCTTTTAGCTCAGTTTTTGACCTCCACCAACTCCTGAAGTAAATATCTGTCTCTTTAACTGCTAAATTCAATAGCAAAAGCTTTTTTACTTCGCTAGTAATAGTCAATCTAAACAATTGTTAATACAATAATATTGATTATAGCTGCTTTAACAGTTTGTGTAGCATCCTCCTCTCCATAACTGTAAGGACTCCAGAGTTATGGCCCATTTGGTATGTTTAAAAATGGGTGAGGACAATTTAAAAAGCATCAAATAGCCAATGTAGCCTGTTATTTCAGTCTGCCTCTACAGCATGTAATGTTTTTTTTTTTTCTTCTTCTTTTGTGTTTGCATTATTCTGTTGTCAGACAGCCTTGAAAAGTGTACCGAGTTGTATTTCATTATACACTTTTCTAGGTCATTTCTGACTGTAAGACATGAGTGGTGAGGGCCAAGACAGGGTCATGTTCATGCTGTTCAAATGACCCAGATTTTGGACATTTTCTGACCTAAATGTTCATAATCTGAACAGCGTTATCACAATGTCGACTGTGAGTTGATTTCTTCTATGAGCCATCTTTTTTGAGTTTAAGTTTTTCATGTAACATCTGAATGTGTCTGCGACCCAGATTCTAACTGAATCAATAATGACACAAATTTCACACAATAAAAAGTTGTTGTTTATCTGTGTCAATGGGCACATTATGGTGGGAGTACACATGAGGATCCTATTCCGTGGTTAGATAATACACGATTTCTGGTGATATAACATCAGTTATTTGTATTTGTCATTGAGCGAAAATTACTCACAGGCAGCAGTTGTGTCTGTATATGAAAGCAGCAACTCAAAAGCTAGTAATGCCTGTAATCTTCAAGGTTAGTAGGTAAGCTTTTAAAAGGAAAGTGTGTCAGCAGCAAACATTTGCAATTTAATGAAATGTGAACATTAAAGCAGCAATTATGGACTAATTTAGCTCCAGTAGTATCGTAAATTAAATGCAGCTTTCCTTACATTGAATTATGAAAAAATGAATGTTTAAAAAGTGTGAAATCTCACAATATCTGATCAAACACTGCATCCATAAATGGGAAGAGCATAACTATGATATGATTGAGAAATATCATGTTTTGGGTTCAAGAAAGCCGGGATCATATTTTTTGTCCTTCATAATAAAACTTGTGATGAGCAACTGCCAATGAAAACATGTTTACAATATGTGAAGCAGCCATCTTCAATAAGGACGCCTGCCCTGGCTCAGGACTGGAACATGTTCGAGCCACAATGTCCTGAAAAACACTGACCCAAGAATCAAAATACACTCTCTGCTCTTCAGGCTCTGAACTTCACCCTACTCATGGTACTGTATAATATTGTGCATTTGACAAAGCAGTGGATGAAAGTCTTGCACATCAATTTTCTGCTATTTTAGATCTTAAGCTTTATTTGGGGTATGTGAAAAAAAATTGAAGTTGTATGCTTAGTTGGTTACCTTCTTGTTATTTATATGAGACAAATATGAGACACAAAATAATGTTTATAGGCTGTGAACCAACAAAAACACAAAAAAACACAAAACCCCCCTCTGTTCCACTGCTTTAAATTCAATTTCTCAGACAAAACAAAAAAAAGTCCACTACATGTCCAGTTTTTGCCAAAAAGGTATTTTCTCAATACATTTGAACAGGACTGCATCATGTGAGCAGATCCTTCAGTAAGTCTGCAGTTTTAACTTTAAGCAAAGCTAGAAACATGTAAAGAGATACAAAGAAACAATCCCTTTGGCTGCAGGCAAATGCACCCAAATTAATTTATAATTTCACAGAGCTTCAGCTATTGTGCTGCAAAAGTACAGTTGACACAATCATCAGTTTACCTTGTAGGAGTGTGATTCACTGTAATATAAAATTACACTGTAGACTAAACTAGCTTACAGTAATACAACATATTCCATAAACAAAACAAAAGTCATTCTTACTCCACATAATTCCAAATAGGCCACTGATTTCTGCATAAATTGCATAATTCTTTCTATTTCCATTTTGGTTAATCGTGAAGAAAAGATTATTGTTCACTCTTTGTTATGATTATTATTTTATTTTGAAATGTAAGATTCTTTAAATCCAGAGAGGAACATATGCAATGTTTTGATGCTATGGTCTCACTGTGTGATGTATTACAGTACCTAAAACACAGATATGTACACTTTGTGTGCTTATGAGATTTTTGTATTAAGAGTTTTGTAAAATGAAATTCTCTCTTTTTGTATCAATGCTCAAAAATCCTATTCTATTTTTATAAAAGTACTTAACTGTTGTGTTATTGTAGGACTACATATAAAAATATAGTAGCTTTCCCCATAATGGGAGAGTGAGGTTGTATTTTCTAGTTAGTATACTAACTAGTTAGAAAGTATACATATTATTATTGAATGTTTTTAATCCTCCTTTACCTTTCCAGTTAAAGCTAAATTAATGCCACTTCCCTACATTACAAAAAAGATGGATTAATGCCTGGCTTCAACTCCATTTTTAAACATTCTCCTTTCTCCCTGCTAAAATGCAGGGAAGCAGCTCATTATCTCAGGCTGAAGTGACTCGACGTTGACGGACAAAGCAGCCAGTTAGAAGGAAAGCATTGTTCGGGGCTTCCGACAGAGGAAACTAACTCAGACACTTCCAATGAGCTTTCTACCTTTTCATCCGGCTGCCTGATTTGCCCTTTCCTGAGCGTTTTCCTGTGAACTCACTAAGAAATAACCCATTAGTAGGGTTTACTGTTAGCTGGCTCCCTGTCCAGTCTAAATATAGATTTTTTGAATTCAATTAACAATCGTTTTCTCAGCCCTTAGGCTATATATAGATGCAATTGTGTTATCCTGGTCATGCCTAGACAGAAAAAAATGGACAAGAATAAAAATCCAGACAGAGATTGAGTAAACTCTTCCTCATGACACATGCAATATAAACACACTTCTTAGTTACTGTACCTGTGAAGACCTTAGCCAAATTAACCATAAACAATTCTTCCTTTCTCTCTTGAGAAAAATACTGAAGATAATGAAGTAAATAAAGAAGCTGATGTAGGACTTTTGGGCCACAGAATAATTGCTTGGCAATAAAAGTTATTATTATATTGTGTGAGCTGTTTCTGATGAATAATATGGGGGATTTTGTGTTACTATAGTTTCCTAATTTGCTTTATTTTCATTTTTGATGTCACTGTTTGTTTTATGCAGTTATTATTTGTTAAGATTTTAACACTCAAAAGCTGATTGAGGAAATAGGTTTTGTATGTTATTATTGTATTTTTGAAGTATTTTTGAAAGCATAACCTATGGAAGCAAATTAAGCATGGCACACTGCTGCCACTGCCAAGGACAAGAGCTGATGAGAAGGTGACTGGTTGCAATCCGCCTTCCTTGCAGGACCTGTACGCCGCCAAGAGCCTCAGGCAAGCAGGAAAGATAATGTCTGACCTCTTTCACCCGGACACAAACAATCCCCTCTGGCAGGAGGCTGCAGTCCATCCAGACCAAAGCCACAATGCCAGACTGCAGCCACTCATCAACAACGCCCCAGACCCCCATGGCTCTCATCCTGCCCTATGTTGCATTAATGTAAAGTCTTTATTAAACATTCAAATCTAATTCGACACCTTCTGTTATATTAACTTAAATCTTTGTATTATTATTTCTGTGTACATTTAATCCTTCTCATTTTAAACATTGTACAGCTCTTTCCACAATAAAATCGATATATATTTCATGTCTTTATTGCAAATTTCTATTTTACATACATGATTCTTGACTTTCTCAGTACTTTGCTCTTTTTGCTTTCTATATTAATAATAATATATTTCAATATTTTCAATTTCCACCATAACACCAAGGCAAATCCTTGTTTCAGATTCTGAGGTGCGTTTTCTGTTTCCTATCACCACTCAGAGCTTATTTCCCTCAACCATGAAAACAATATTTCCACATGTCGTTTTAATTGCCTTCAACTGGAAAATGCTGTTCAGATACAGACCTTTCTATTTGTTGGACCTACTTGTGAGGGATAGGTTCACCTACAATATATGATTCCTATTGGTTTGTTAAGTTTAATGACCTCAAATAATTTGAGTACAACTTCGAGGGATTTAAGGGTATTTGTACTTTACTTGCGTATTTGAAAACAGATGTATATAAAGTATTTAAAATTTGCTCCACTATTACCAACTACAACACTGAAATGGTACTTAAAGGTCAAGTGTATAACATTAAGAAGGATCTATTGGCAGAAATGAAATATAATATTCATAGGTATGTTTTCATTAGTGTATAATCACCTGAATATAAGAATGTGTTTTTGCTACCTTCTACAGAGTTGTTAGACTGCCATGTTGCTACAGTAGCCCAGAACAGCCAGACTTTGGAACAAACTTCCAAACTCATGAGAAGGTGATGTTTTAGACATACAAGATGGACAGTGACAATAATATCTACCAGTAACAGAGTATTTTTACATTGTGTTAACGCTTCTTTTACTTGATTCATTTTGGAAATCACCGTCATGTTTAGTCTTTTAGATATAAGGACTTGTTGACCTGAGTCCTGAGACTAAACGTAACTTCTATTAAAGGATAGGACTGTCAAAACATCCTCACTTCAGGGGATTTTCTGTCCTTGTAAGAACGTCTGGTTCCCCTCACAAGTATTGAAATATAAGACACACACAGAAACACTCACCAATACACACACACACACACACACACACACACACATTCACACATTCACACACCCTGACAGCAAAGAGCACAAGAGTTGTGAAGTAATTTAGTCACTGTAATACCACACATGTTGTTCAGCAGTGAGGAAGTAGTGAAGAGGAAAATCAGTGTCGAGGAGTCTCCTCATCCTCCCACACATCTTATTTCATTGGCTGAGAGGCGTGATGTCACAGAGTGGACTACCCTATAAAAAGTCACTCTCCCACACAGACGGCAGACCACAGACCAGCTGCGACTCACTTAACAGCAAGAAAGACAGCTCTGTGAGACGCTGCATACTTTACAAACAACTGTTAAAACCTTTGGAAATATCCACCAGTAAGCAGGAAACCATCTCATCATGTGTAGAGGACTCGAATCGCTGCCTATTACCTGCCTGGAGAGGTGAGATCCATGAGTGTTTTCTGATATTTTTCTTTTTTTGGAGGAACAGTAATTATTACTTTAATTCTTGAAAATGACAAATGGACTTAATTGCCTTGCAGTTCTCTTTGTAAAATGTTCTCTTTCTTTATCTTCGCAGGGCAAAGGAGCTGAAAGCTTTGTTTGGAAGTTTACTACAGAAGTCAGATCACAGCATCACTGGCCAGTCAAAGAAAAATGACAAACTGAGGTAAGACATACATTCAAATTCAAAATTCACCATTTTAAAGCCTGCCAGTCAAATTAAAGTGGACCGCTGGTTGTTCTTAGAAATTTTCCTAATGCTGTTTTTTCTGTTATTCTACAGGTTAAATGTCGACGAGCCTTTGAAATGGAAGGAGTCGTTTGACAAACTGTTGTCCAGTCAAAGTAAGTTTAAACCTCCAGATCACACTTGATGCAATTGTTTCAATTACTGCAGATGTTTTTAAAGACGACTACCAGATGTTAACTCTCTCCTCTCTCTCCTGTCTCCAGATGGACTGTGCCTGTTCAGAGCCTTCCTGGTCTCAGAGTTCAGTGAAGAAAACATTGCCTTCTACTTGGCTTGTGAGGACTACCAGACAACTAAACCTTCAAAACTGGCCACCAAAGCCAAGAAAATTTACGACGAGTTCATCGGCTCTGATGCGCCACGAGAGGTAAATATCAAATCACCTACAGAGACGATTTAAGATGCTCTGCTGGCTTCTCTTATCTCGCTGTGGCGTGCTGATAATCAACTCTCTATCTCTTCTGTTTCCCCACAGGTAAATCTTGATCACGTGACCAAAGCCATCACAAAGGAGAACATGGAGCATCCCAGACAGTCCTGTTTCGAACTGGCGCAAGCCAAAATCTACAACCTGATGGAGAAAGACTGCTACCCTCGCTTCCTCAAATCCTCCATATACGTAGAGGTCAGCAGAAAGGCCAAGACAGCGTAACAAACTTTAAAAAAAACATCCTGCAAGCAGCAGATGAGACGTGATCACTCCTCAAAAGGGACATAAGCTTACTGACGCACAGCAGAGACTGGAAAGGTTCAAGTGGAACAAATACCTCAGTCCAAGGAGTTTGGTGCCAGGTTGTGGAGTTATTTTGGAGACGGGAGGTTGCATACTGATTGGGGTCCGAGCTGGAAGCTAAAGGACACATGAAGCTGTGAGAAGAGACGGACACAGACTGAGCTGTCTGCCTCTGAAAGAGACACGTATACTGTACATACATGGCTGCATGAACGGCAGCCACAGTGGCATCAATTTTAAATTGCAGAGAGATATAAATGAGTTGCTTTCACACAACAAATCTACCACAGGGAGAGACTCCTGTAGCACCAGTGTTTGTTTATTTATTATCTATTTATTTAAAGTTCATTTTTATTCTGTGAATGTTTGTTGTGCAACTGGTTGGTGAAAACTGGTTTGTATTTTATATGTTTTTCTATCTGAAGTACTGTATGTAAAGATTGAATAAAAGATTACCAATTTGCATTGGAAACTTCTCTTCACTGGATGTGGTTACTGAGCTCTGGAACAATGTAGGAGGAAGGAAGAAGAAATTTTGCTCGTGTGTGCTTTTTTAGGCGCTAACTAATCGGTGGCCTCAGTGGTTCCACTTCACAAGTAGGTGACTGGATGACTCCTTTTCTCTGAGTTACAGTGAATGGAAGACATGAGATGAGTGTGTGTCAGTTCTTGCGCTTTTATTAATAAAAATAATCTATTTTGACCCATGCAGAGGGAGAGAAAATGTGAGCTCATTTTAGTTGGTCATTCACTTCTACAGGATTAGAGTAGATCTTAAATTTAGATACACACTCACACAACACCAGAGGGGAAACTATTCAGTCACCCATTCACAGTAACAAACAGTCAGACAGGTCACAATAGACAATAGTAACACTCAAACTAACACCTATTCAAGAAGACCTAGGTGTAGCTCAGGAGGCTGCCCAGACACAATTTATTATTTAAATACAAAGAATAGTTTGACATTTTGTTGAGAATAAATGAAAAGATTGATACCACTTCCCCTTGTTTCCAGTCTTTGCGCTAAGCCAGTGGGGTTCAGCAAAATTGAAGGAAGATGCAAAAAAAACATTCATATTCATATTATTCATATAAAATCAAAGCTGCCCTGCTCCTTAAATTTAGCATGCTTGCTTGCTTCAAATTAAAGATTTGAAAGACAAAAAAATAAAAATTGTATTGCATTAAAAAAGATAAAAGTAAGGAAATACTTTAAAAATAAATTTTACAAAAGGGGGGGGTGGCCATGAGCTATTTGGGATGCCTTAGCATGGAAAGGTTTCAGAACCCTTGGGATAAGCTAAGCTAACCAAATGCTGATTGTATCTACACATTTATTGCACAGACATGAGGGTGGTATTGATCTTCTCATCCAACCCACAGCATGAAATTGAATAAGTATATTTCCCTAGTGTGTGTGTGTGTGTGTGTGTGTGTGTGTGTGTGTGTGTGTGTGTGTCCCAAAAGAAAGATAATTTTGCCAGGAAACATCTGAGTGTGATGGAAGGTCGCCATGGATACAGCAGCCGCCTACTGAGCAGCTCCACAGGCAGGTTTGTTTACTACCGTATTACAGCCACTCAGCCTGTGAGTCACAGCAGCCTCCCCTCCATTCTCTTGCCGTCCATCATCGCCAACTCCTCGCTGCCATCCCCCCTCTTACGCCCTCCCACTGCAACAGCCAACTCCTGTTCAAACACTCAGCCCACGAAAGAGGCGAGGTCGAAGTCATTAACACCTCTCTCACACTCATGGAAAATGGCAGAGGCTGTCTCTCCACTCCATCCCTCTTTGTCTCTGTCAGTCTCACCTCACATTACAAGTGATGTGTAATGAGGCCTCTTCTCAACGTGGACATACAGTCATTGAGATTAACTGAAGAAACACTGATGTATTTTTTGGTTCAGCAAACTGAAACAGATGGACTTGACTTTAACTTGTCACGTAGGCCTACTCTTTGCTGCACCAGCTGATTTGTATATGTAAAAGTATTATTTTCATTCTGTTTGACCAGATGTTTATGATTCGTCTCTTATTCAAGCTATCAAATGCCAGAATATACTTTGGCAAAAGAAAAAAGCATGTAGGGACTTGATCAGGTGCGGTTGCATGTGGGTGGATTTGTTTAGACCGTTTTTATGTAACTTGATGTTGTGTTATCATAAGGGTGTAGTTTATTCAAATGTTTGAGATGAATGACAACAAGACAAATAAGCACAGAGAAACAGAGAGAGAGAAAAGTTTGAGATTGAGATAAATCCTTTTTCTGATGCCTAGATTGAAATATGATCAGCGTGGCAACAACAACTTGGATCAACATAAAAGATACACATCAGGTAAAAACTCTTAAAGATTTAAGTAACAATGTCTGGCTGTATTTTAATAAGATACAGGGAGGAAATGAGTCTGTTGTGACGCCAGACTGTGCATTTGTGTGTGATGAGTGTATCTCTATGCAGATGGGTAGACAAAAGAACTTTCAAATGGGTCAATTAGAGCTGAATCATTGAATTGAACGCCAGTGAAACACTAAACGAGACATTTGCCCTTGCTTTAGCTGCTTATTTAAAACAAGCACGATCCAAATATCAGATGTCCATCATCTTCATTCTTCAAATAATTAATTATTTTTTTACTTTGAAGAAATCCCACACACATAGTCAGCGCTGGAAGTCCTGTATAGTATAATATATATATATATATATATATATATTATGTTTCTATCTTATAATTTGTTTAGTGTAAGAATCACTTTTTTAGTTTGTGAAGATGGGGGTAGCTTAATTCTTCGTAATATATCATTATATTTTAGCGAGCTGTGAATTGTGTAAGAGAAACTACAAAAGCAAAACAGGAAAAACAGTAAAGGCCCTATCTAGAGCCAGTAGCTTTGTTTCCTTAGAGCCCATTCTAAGGAAAACACAACAATTCCTATATTCAGGTGATTATACACTAATTAAAACATACCTATGAATATTATATTCCATTTCTGCCAATAGACTGTTACACACTGGACCATGCAAATTTAAAATGATGTTATCTTAATGGCTTTGGATTAGTCCAAACACCAGAAATTGAAACTGCTGTCCAACACATTTAAATAGAGATAAAATAAAATGAGCTAGAGTGTAAAAGGAAGGCCTGAATGACACAACTCAAGTGCTGTATAAATACGTCCTCTTCTGTACTCCGTCAATAAACAAATTTTGACGACACTTGTTGACTTCAGTGTTTTACACAGCTAACTTACAGTAAATAAATTAGCATTTAAAGGTAAATTAACGTCCTGGAAATCTGCATGATTGGAGTTCAACTTTACTAGCCTATTTTTAACTGCTGGATTTTCCTCTGGCAAACAAACAAGGAACCAGCTGCCAAAACAAACCATAAAATGGAGAAGCTCCTGGAGGCTTTTGACAGCCACTTAAAGTAACAGTAAAAAGATCGCTATCTAATGTTGGACAGCCTCATTACAGTAATGTCTTTTTTATTCTGTTTTTCTGAGATGGACAGGAAAAGGGGGAGAGAGGAGGGGATGACATGCAGCCAAAGGCCACAGGTCAGATTTGAATGTGTTGCTGCTGCACTGAGGACTCAGTCTTGGTACATGGGACACCAGCACCAGGTGAGCTTCCTGCACGTAAATGTTTCTATGTAAATTCTATGAGTCTGTATGAAGGCTGCATTCTTGTCCAGCAAAGGGTCTTCTATTGCCTGAATATCATTCCACCTTTCTCTCTTTTTTCCTTCATTATTTGTCATCGCTTCACTATCCATTATCAAAATAAAAGTCCAAATGCCCCCCCCAAAAAATACAAAAAGATATGGATACAGATAGGATGCTGTATGTTTCCTAAAAGCACCATCCAACTCAATATACAAACGACATATCTGAATAAATAAAAACCTAGAAGCAAAAAAAGACTCTGCTTTGTCTCATTTTACTGTAATGTCTTTTTTTATTTGTTTGAAGACAGATCCATTTTCAGGTTTACAATAGTTATTTCACGCTGGCTAGCCAGAAATGAACATAATGTGTTTACACAAAAGGAAAAACAAGAAGATTAAGCTTTATTTCAGCGCACCTAAACATTCAGGATCATAAAGTTTTACAGTCCACACTGTGAACACACCTGTATGAGCTGGCATGGGAGAGGCTGAACCCGGCTGTTTTTCACATGAGTGTTTCTAAAGTGAGGATCGGTTTAAATGGGCTGCTTTAAATGTCAGGAAGGTTGAAACATAATGTGGCACAAAAGAGGTGGAGCTCTGTTAAACGGTGGATCTGGCTCCACTGGGCAGCTACTTCACTGGTAGAAATGAGTCAGCATACTCATTTAAAAACATATTTGCTAAGCGAGTGGTGATTAATAAGCGCCGCCAACGGTGCTTGAACTTGGGAGAGTGCTGTAAAGACACAGAGCCGCAGCCATGGTTACCAGGTTACCAAGGGAACAAACCTAGCATAGCTGAGTGGTCCCATCCATAGTTCACTCTAAAATGCTCAATTACACCACAAGAGCTTAAACTCGTGTTCATTTCATTTAAATTGCAAGATGGAAAATAGGCTCGTACTACAAATAAACTCCTTTGTGTCCATTTGTTGAAAATAGCCTCATAAACACTGAAAATCTGATTATAGCTGATATTAAAATAGTGGTGTGACATATGAGAATATAACTCTCTGGTCTTATGTCAACATTTGGTCTGCGTTATTTCATTACATGGTGTCATATGAAGACAGCAGGTCAAGCCATGCATAGCAAATAATGACTCACATCAGTGAGGAAAAGCCATACATGTGTTTGTTATTAGTTTAAATTTACAGGAAAAATGACATGGAGCCTGAGGAGAGGTAGTTTGACTCTCAGTGGAGTTCCTGTTCTCCTCTGGGGTTTTCTGGTTTCCTCCTACAGTTTAAAGACTGGCAAATCAGACTGGAGACTCCCTAAGGTGTGAATGTATGTGATGTGGTTGTCTGTATGTTTAGGCCTGTCTAGGATGTTTCCCTCTCATCCACTCAAGGCTGGGATAGGTGGACAGAAATACTGCTTCTTTAACGAAAAGCAGTTTTAGTAAAAAAATCCCCAAAACACTAAGTGTGAGTTAAAGTGTCTTTTTATGAGAGCGTGTCCCACAGGAGACTCGCTCTGTTTTGTTTGCTGTGCCCCTACCACATGTCCCTTCTTTCTACATTTTTTGAGAATATTCTGCTGCTGGAGATCTCAGGAAACTTCCTCATGACCTCGTTACAGCTCCACCTTCCCGGGCAAATGAGCCAATCGTCTGCTTCGCTACTAACAACACATTTCAAGACATGAGACTACAAACGTTTGGACACTGACCCCATTCCCAAATTATTCTGAATTTACAGCAAAATTTCAACATGCATGCAATAAGGTGAGTGAATGTTGACAGTTTCATGCAAAAAAGCAGTTCCCACCATGTATTTGTCTGTTTTGTTTACTTTTTTTTTTTATTCTACATTAGTAGGATGTAAGATCACCAAGTTCACCTCCTAAGTAGATTATTTAAGAGAGAACTTAAAGTTCTGAAGAGTTGAGAACAGCCACAAAGTAAATATGTGCAAACAGTCAAACTGAGGCTAACTTGCTCTTTAAAGAGACGTTTTGTGAATTATACTCATTCCATTTGTTGCCACGGGTTAGTGGAGAAGATTGATATCACTTTCACATCTGTACAGTATATATGAGGCTACAGCCAGCAGCCAGTTAGTTTAGCTCAACATAAGACAAGAAACAGGTGGAAATTAGGGAATGCCAATACCATTACCACTCTTGTTACTTCCTTTCTGCTATGACTCCTTCATGTTGTAAGTTTCCAGCATCGTAGACACATAAGTTTCACATCATTGTCAGAATAATGTGATGGCATTGATACAAAGCACTGATACGATTCCAACGGATCGGACAAGTTGGAACCGGTTCTCAATTCCCATGTTGGAACTTTATGTGAACCCTGACTCCACCAGCAGTTTGTTAATTCAAATAGCACCCCGTCTTTATAAACTGAACTGGCAGTTATGGTTAGGTTAAATGATGCACATAACAATCCTTCGAGTCCGTAATATATGTGGATCACCAAAAAGACAAAAAACAGAAAAGAGGAAATACTGTGACGTAGGTCCACCACGACCACATGACTAAGTGACAAATAATGGGAAGTGTGTGTGGGGCAATATCTGTGTATCTTCCACAGTGACAAAGTAATTGGGTTTGTGGGAAGGTCAGCTTTGTACTCAGCCGCTCTGACAACCACAGCAGGCTGTGTGTTTATTGACCTATGAAGAGCAATGAATGCCTAAAAGCAGCTGATCTCATATCAGTCGGCGCTCAGTCGCGTGCCAGTTTGTGGAGATCAACACAACACCTGATTCCTATTTGCCAGCAGTGTGTCAGATTGTACAAACAGAACTCAGGCCCAGTTTTGTGATACGGTGTAAAGAGAAAAAAAAAGTCTGTGGCGATCAGCAGAGTGACAGTGATTCAGGAGCCGGTCTAAAGCAGGGGCTTTTTATTCATTTTTAATTCTGTTTACTTTGTTGTTATTTATTTTATTTTTTTAAAGGGTTTTTTTTGGCCTTTTATTGCCTTTATTGATAGTGACAGCTGAAGATAGACAGGAAAGGGGGGCGGAGAGAGGGGATGACACGCAGCAAAGGGCCACAGGTCGGATTAGAGCACGGGCCCCTGCAGCAACTCCGTACATGTGTCGCCAGCTCCACCGACTGAGCTAACCAGGCGCCCCTGTTGTTATTATTCTATGATCAGTAATGTAATATCTAACAAATACTGGATGGATTTAAATTAAATTTGGTACATGTTCATGTTCCCCAGAGGACTGATCCTAATGACTTTGGTGATCTCCCAACCTTTTCTCTAACGCCACCTTGAGTGCACGTTTGTGGTTCTAAATGAAATGTCTTAAATATTGTATGATTTGCCACGAATTTTTTTTCCCAAAGGGACGAATTGTAATAACTTTGATGATACTCTGACTTTGTGTTAAACACCATCATCAGGTCCAAATTCCAGTACTTTAATTTGAGACTAATGCCATTCCCTTCAGGCTCAGCTGGACTTTGTGTTCATAAGTTGCTAAGGTACAGCCTCACAGTGCCGCTAGTGTAGCTGTAGACTAGTCTCTTTAAAATAAAAAATTAACAAATGCAATTTTACCCTATGTAGATTCAGAAGGGTTCAAAAACAACTATCTCTGTCATGTTTGTTTTTCTGAACTTGAACAACTTATCTTTTCAATTTTGTTTCCTTATTAATTTAATTTTTTTATTGTGCACTCAAGGGAATATGGATGTCAGTTTACTCATTTTAAGAATGGTGTTTATCTGTTTTTGCAAGTTAAGAAAAATTGAAACTGAAAACGTGTCTGTGATTCGTTCATTTAAAAAACTAATCAAACATGGAGTAAAGGCTAGAAGAATAGTGTGTTACAGCGTGAGTGCAAACCCATCGTGTGCGTCTACAAACACATGAAGATAAAAAACACACAGCTCTTTCCTCACGTGGCGAGTGGGAAGTGATAAGAGAGAGACATGAAGATACACAACAGCCACATTTTACCTGTACAACCAATTAAAAAGCAGTTGAGAGATTTACCTGATGCTGAGTGGTAAAATAATTGCTCTTTCTGACGTGCATGCATCAGTTGTTGCTCGTCTTAACAATAAAAGTCACTTGGAGTCAAGAAGCTTCCGGTTTGAGGGAGTGCAGCATCACAAATTAACCCAATAAAGTGTTACACATTATAGCCATGTCACCAGCCATTGCAGCAGCCTGGCAAGACCGCAAATGCCGAAAGCAGTCCTTAATGCTGCAGGAACTGGATGCCCAAAGCAAGACAGCAACTACCTGAAATTAGGCAATTTACAGAAGAGAACCTCCTGAAGCACCCAATACAGTATTTCTGTTAAAGTATGATCTCAGAGTACACTCTGTCCCCAGAAAACAGACAAAAAATGAAAAGTGAGGGGGGTGATTTTCTGAAGTGACAGAGCACTCTGTCATTTGGACCTTAATGGAGTCTCTGTGAGCCTTACACTGAGGCAGAGAGTACGCCACCAAATGGTTCCTCACACAGCTTAACAAAAGACAAGGTACACAAAAAGATAAAGACGGACATGGAGGTAAAAGAAGCACAGTGAATAAAGTGGATTTTTGTCTTTGTCTCTTCTCCTTTGTCTTTTACTGTTACAAGCTTTACATCTGGCAAAATGCATAGAGCTCTGTTGCCACCTGCTGGAGAGATGACTGAAGTTTGATCAGAAAACATATTGTGAGGTGAGAGCGAAAGGGTGGAGGTTTCACTTTTAATAGTCTGTGGGTGAAATACTCTAGGCCAGTAGGCCACAAAAGATAAAGCACGGCAATCACCTACTTTCCTAAAAGACTCTTTAGAGTTTAGTTTAAAGCTGCTATAATACAAATTTGTGTATGTGAAAGGCTGATGATGACAAATGCACGAGAATTCTCGCCCGACTCTGCAGTTAACCTTTTTCACATTTATTTTTACAAACTGCTGAGGGAAATGTATGGCTCTTTATCAGCTAAATACGACACTATATTCACCAGCTAGTTGCTAACTGTGTCTGTCTGCATTTTGGTGCTGAGCAGATAGAGTATATTGGATTTATCAAAACTTTTTGACTGAAAAGCAACACTATACGAGTGGTGGGAGTGAAACAAAATGGTTCAAAGTTGTGGCCAGACAGCTAAACAATGAGCTGAAACTCTCTATAAAGCTCTTAAAGCCAATGGGAGATGCAGATTCAGGTGATAATTCTCTGTAGGTTCATCACTATGAGTGACTCCTTTCTTATTGTCACGTACTTTTCACAATTTCAGCTGATATATTTATTATAAAACACCATGTGATAATATGTCAGTGTTGTGTTTAGAGCTGGTTTCCACTGTCCACATATGACCAAAAAGTTATTGTAGGTTTGAATTAAAATCTGCTGGCAAATGTGTTTAAAAGTATGCAAATAAAATCCAAAAGAGAAAGAGTTGCATTTTCTTGTGACGAAAGCCAGGCACAATACACAGTGAAGTATTTCACTAAACCTCTATCTGCTTTTAAAACTGCAGAGCAAGTAAAAATGCATCAGAGGTATAAAAATCAGGGGGTTAAAATTCATATTTCCCCCAAATCTATGCCCATTCAGCAAATCATATGTTACCTTAATCCATTCTGAAATTACCTTAGGGCTGTTTTCATAACATTTGAGCTGAAAGTAGTTGCTACATTGTTCCCTCTCTGTTTCATGATCATTTCAGCCCTTATAAAAGATCAACAGAGGCAGCCTGCATGCAGCAGCAACCATAAGAATAAAGGTCAAAACTGTCAGTGTGTCAGCACTTTGAGAACAATCCACTAACAGCTCAGAGTGTGCCTTTGCATGGTGGAAACTCTAGGTTAAAGGCGTGTTACTGTGTCATCTGGTTGCAAGACCATTGGTGCTTCTTTCATTCATTGTGTCGTAATAAACAATCATTTGTGGTGTTTACTTCTGCTAGGTGTGCGAGTTTCTCTTAAATTAATGGCTTCATTCATCCTCACTTTGCAGGAGGGAACCAAGAGCCCTTCAAGGACCCCAGGGGGCTCCTGGAATCTACTGGGAGACAGTGATTTGAGGATTTGTTTATTCCCTGCGATGCCACTAGATGTCATACAAGCAAACACCAGCTGTAGCTGCTGATAGTCTCCACAGCAGAGTCAGTCTTCATCTGTTAGATTTTACACCCAGTTTAATAGCTAACAAGCGCCCACTGCTTCTGAATATTGATCGCCCACTCTGATAAATTACTGCCTACATTGATGCCGCGGTGCTTCGAGGAAAAAACAATCATGTGTTGAGATCCGTGCGTCATTGGGACCCCGGCGGTGGCGGCGGTGGCGGTGGCCGCGGTGCGTTCTGCTTCTCCGTCGTGCCTCAGTCCGGAGCGAGAGGGTCAGCAAGTGCACACACCGATCACCGATCAGCGCGTTAATTGAATACACCAGACAACCAATCCGTAGCGACCGGAGCGCCCAACCCGGATGACCTCCGGAGTGACGCGTCTCTCCGGTGAGAGTGCGGAGGGAGCAGCGCCGGAGGAGATGCGCATATCTGCAGGTACTCTAGCGCTGTCGTAAAACAAGAGACGGGAGCGAGTCGGCGATCATTAAAGCGATGCCAGGGGTAACCAAGTACAATTTAGTGGATGACGCGCACGATTTGAGGATCCCCATGCACAACGAGGAGGTGTTCAAACATGGGGTCTGCTTCGAGGCAAAGGTAGGGACCCTCTGCAACAGATAGTTTCTGGGTGGCAGGAATGATTTGAGGCTTGTGGATCATAATGTGTCAAACACTAAAATGAAGGCTAACAACCACTACGTTTCCATCCATGCGTTCACGTGATGTAAATGGTGTTTATTGACCATGTAATACTTAGATTTCTGGCTACTTTGTATGACTTTGAAATGTTTGTGATTTAAAAATGTTTGACCTTACTCACACGGAGAAGTGTTGCTTTACTGATAACTTGATGAATGCTGACATAATTTATTTCCCATATCTGCCTTCTGGCACCCAGACTGTAAAAGGGCTGCAGCTAAGGATTATTTTAATTGTTGATTCATCTGCAAATTCTTTTCTAAATTAATCGGAGAAGCGTTTGGTCTATAAAACATCAGAACACTGTGACAATAGTCTAAAACCCCAACATATTAAGTTTACTATAGTGTAAGACAAGGAAAAGTAGTAAATTCAGAAATTTGATAAGCTGGAACCCTCAAATATCTGGTATATGTTATAGAAAAAGGATGTGATCGATTAATCCACAAATTGTTGCAGCTCTACTGTACAATGATGTCCTCATGCAGGGGAATATTTCCAAAAATGAGTGAAAAAGCTGTCAGAATAACAAAGAATGGAAATAAATAATCTGACAGCCCAGCACTCCCCAAGCAATCAGTGGCATTCATTCCCTCAAACTGCCAATCTTTAAACCTCTTTCTTATGTTTTGCAGTACATTGGCAGTTTGGAGGTGGGTCGCCCCGGCAGTCGGATGGAGATAGTCGCTGCAATGAGGAGAATCAGAGTAAGACATCCTAAATGTGTGACTTCCCTGAACCCAAACTACTGAACTTGACCCTAGACACATTAACAATGACCCAGCGACTGATGATGGTGCATGCACATTAATCCTGTCTCTCTCTGTCCCTGTGTTTTATGTCTCACCTTGTGCACATTGCTCAGAGGATCCTTACTCCCCATAACATCATCTTTACACATAAATCACTAGTCTGTTTAAAAACTACACACTCAAGCAGATTCAGTGGGCTGTCAGGTGCGGTTTATATCACAGCAAGATTCAGGAGGCAGATTTTATGGCTGAGGAGAGATACAGCGTGCAGGTTTATATGTGATACTATTAGGAAAAGCGAGCACTCTTGAGTCTCCCTTAAGACCAGACAAGGCCACAGGAAACACTGTGATGCCTTGTCATTACACATCACTGCAGTGTTACAGAGAAGCACGAGAGGAGAGGATTTAGCTGCTTGTCGGCTGTTAGATCTAATCTAACAACCAAGTTATTGTGTCACTCAGAGGTCGGCCACATCCCCAGTGACACCCAGGAGGGACTTAATCCTCATCCCTTGAGTACTGTGCGGCATAATGGCCATTTGATTGCACTGGCCAAGATTGAATTTCCTCACTGACATATCATTTGTGAATCATAGCGATCTCTGAATGTTTTTTTCTTTTCAGATTTGTACAGTTTTTCTTGCATTATAAAAGTGCCTGCCTGCAGGTCGATACAGCAGCTTAAAATGGAAATAATAAACCCACACAATGCACAGGGTAATACAAATGCTTTTGAAGACCTTGCTGGCCAGGTTTATGTATTGTACCTTTTTCATCTGTCCTTAAACAAACATTTTAATTAAATGTCTTTGTTGTGTGGCTCTTATCTAAAAGCAGAGTTTGCAAAATGCTTTTCTGCAAGGCTTCAAAGCAAAAATAATACACTTAAGGAGATGAAAATAAAGAGAAAAGAAAATGCATTAAGAGACAAATATATATTTAAATCCAAATACAATAAACAACCTGATATTAAATGTGGCTGAGATTCAAAATTTGGAACATAAAAGCAAGTCTATAAAAGGAATCAGGGCTGTTTTTTGAGTTCTGTAATGGCACAGTAATTAAGAGTCTCTCCTTCTGGGGGGAGTCTCACTCTGAATATTCAACAGATAACTTAAGGCACTCACAGTGGCTTAGAGATAAGACTGGAGGTGAGCTGTCACAACTTGTAAAGCATTAGTTGTGCTTGGAGGTCAGTGTTAGTCTCAGTTAGTTTCAGGCTGACGCGCATTGGAAATGTGAACACTTCCTGTGGGTTCCACACTTCGCCGCTCTCTAACAGAAGTGTGTGTGAAGATGAGTCCTCTTGTCCCAGTTTTCTGGATAACACAAACACGTTATGGGAGTTGTGGCCTTCACCTGAGCATCTACTGCATGTGGGGGAAAACTCCCACACAGCAACAAGATGGATGAACTAGATGGAAGCGTATGACACGGAGTAAGGGCCTATTGAATCTTCCTGTGAGGTGTTTCTCACAGGTCACATATAGAACAAACTGCTCCAGATTCAGTAGGGCTACAATCACCAAATAAGACGTGCCATGCTGGTAACAATTATCCATTTTCTTCTTTTCTTTGAGATTTCTTTTACTCTGAAATGTCAATATAAGAAGAGTGAGAAGACAGCTTCAGTCCTGCTGAAAATAAAAGACACCGCTGGGTTGTTATTTTTACACAAACTAAAGGAAAGATCACAGAGAGTATCCAAGTCTGTCACACAGAGTGGGTGGCGGCTCGTTCGCTAAAGACGAAGAAGAAGGAGAAGTGGTGACTTCACAGAACTTCATCTGATCAATTAATCATCCGATGTTGGACTGTGTGTTTTCAAAGCAAGGCACTTTATTTCACATACATTCTGGTTGTTCTTAGATCTCTGGGCCCTGATATTTGGAGTCTGAGCCTGCAGTGGAAGCAGAGGCTACAGGCTCCAGCATTAATCACGGAGAGGGATGAAAGTGTCCCACACATGTCTGCCTCCCTCTGGGAAGTCTGCCTTTGAAAGCTTAAACAGCTCCCAGGAAAAAGAAACTGACAGTTTCTCAGTGTTTACTCAAACTCCGTTTTCCCCTAAGAAGAAGATAGTCAGAAATATCTTGTGTGCACAATCCCTTCTCTCTTCTCAAATATCATTTATCCTGTGTAAAGAGCTCCATCTCAGCAGGCCCATGCCATATTTAATGCAAGGCACACCATATAGCGTAATAATCAATTTGGTTTGAAATATCTTTTTGCCGAACCTTGAACGTTAATTTGAATATAATTTTCCCTTCACAGTATGAATTCAAACTGAAGAATATAAAGAAAAAGAAGGTCAACATTGTGGTATCCACCGATTTTATCAAAGTGATTTTGCGCAAAAAGAAGAAGGTCAGTACTGAAGAATTTTATTTGAATTTAATCTTTTGTCTTTTGAAAAACACCTTTGTCACCGTCAACTCGTGTTTTTGTGTTGTAACAGAGAAAAGGGTGGTCATGGGATGAGAATACCATCTTGGTGACACAGGATCCCATCTACAGGTAGGCCCTCTTTAGGATTTTAAATTAAAAATAAAAAGCCCAGCCGAAGCCAAATAACAGCTTGTAACTCAGTGACATATTGTTTATTGTCTTCCTTTTAACAGGATCTTCTATGTCTCACATGATGCCCAAGACTTGAAGATCTTCAGTTACATAGCGAGAGATGGACAGAGCAACATTTTCCGCTGCAATGTGTTCAAGTCAAAGAGGAAAGTAGGTTTAATTCCAGACAAACTGAAAATGCCTAAAAGTTAAGTCTGCTGATATTATATATTTTTCTTATCGTCAACAAATCCAGATCAGACCAATTAATTCTTATTAACACGTTTTCTTATTCCTATGTGTCATAGAGCTCCATTATTGTACAAAAAACAATTAAAAACACATCAGTGAGCCACATTGCTTCCCTGGATCACAGGTTTTCTTCATTAGGACAAATACTGTAGTTTATTTCCCAATTATGCCTTAACAGTACAGACTCACTACTCACTATAGCACCAAATCCACCGCTGAAAATAGTCCCCAGTGATGACACTATCTACTGTTTTCTAAAAACTACAGTGCCTAGCTGTTTGTTGCCAGATGTTTTAATAGATTTGAAGGAAGCCCTCAATTTCAGAGATACACTTTATTTACAGTTTTTACAGTTTATTTGCTTTCTTGCCGAGCGATAGATGAGAAGATCGATACAAATCTCTGTCTGCAGCTGCGACCAGCAGCCAGTTAGCTTAGCTTAGCATAAAGATGACTGATGTCTGTCTGAAGGTAAAAATAAAATATTGTGGTTTTATTGGTGGGGGGATTATTTCTTGGCTGGGCACAGTGACTTCCTCAAGTCTGGTCATCACCAGTTTTTAATTAATTGAATTAAAGAAGATATGATGTATTAGTTGAGCTTTATATGTGCTTGTAGGAGGATTTTGTCACAATATGGACAGGTTAGCTGTCTCCATTCTCTGAGCTAAGCTTACCAGCTTCTAGCTTTCTGTATACTGTAGAGACGTGAAAGTTGTATCAATGTTCTTATCTAATTCTCTGTGAGAAATCATAAGCGTTGTCCCAAAATGATGAATTATTCCTTTAAAAATGTATGTCTTCAGTGGGAATGAGGACAGGCTGGGGAAATTGCAAAATATTAGGAGACAGGCAGACACATTGTTGGTTTTAGTATTATTATGAATTTTGTTGACAAACACGAAAGTACGGAATATCTCCAGCTTTATCCTTTAAGCTGACAGCAAACAGTTATGAAAGTCAGTCATTGCATTTTGTTTTTCTGCTTCTTGCTCTGTACATAGCTTCTAATCTCACTGATGTATAGTCCTGTTGGACCTCACATGTAGCCAATTAATCTGAGTGTCAGAAGCCCTCGTGTGTTATGATTAAAATGCTAAAATTGTAAAAAAAAAAAAAAAAAAAAAGAATTACTGGCATGTCCATATCCACATATCTGCATATCAAGCAGAGGATTTTTTTCCTCTATGACAAAGGCAAAGCATCAGTGAGGTTGACTCCCATCCCTTCACCATGGATACCAGACAGAAAGTGACTTAGTGAAGCTGAATACTAATCATCCTGGTGGGAAGAGAAAAGAAGAGGGTCTTTTTCACTTAGCGGTTAAAGACATTTTCACCACTGCTGAATGAACACCCACCACATTGTCAGGGACACGGCCAGTGGTGCCCCACTACCTCCCCGGGGCTGCCGAGCCTTATCTGAGCATTGCAGACCAAGCATGTGTGCTGAGTAGGAGGAGATGGACCGGCTGATAAGAGGAGATTTGATTTATTTTCACCATGGCATGTTGCGGCCCAGCAGGGCTTCGATGTCAGCTCAGTACATCAGCAGGGCCTTTTGTGTTTGGCCTTGGGAGGGCTGGTAGTTTAATTCTTAAAACAAAATTACATTTTGGATTGTTGGAACAGAATAATCCATTTCATGACTTTATTCCTGCATTTATTTATTTTTTGCTTTTTCACTTGATTGAATACTTTCAAGCTTATGAAGGGTTGACATATTGACTGAGTGCCTTGAGGCAGGATGATCCTCCAGAGGCAGCTGACAATACTTTTATTTTCCATGCTGTTTTTCATTTCTTTTTTTGCCACCACAATAAAGAAAACACAAAAAACCTCACCTTTAATGAGATTGAGGAAGGACATGGTGGATAAAGTTTAATTCCAGTGGATTTAGGATGCTGCCACTGGACTGCGTATTAGGGCTTTATGGAGAAAAGAAGCCTTGAAATCGATCACAGAGGTGTCGTTGTTTCAAAGGCCACACTGAATTTTCTTTCCTTTGTGTTCAGCTTAAGAAACACTGATACCCACATTTAAGCCAGAACAGAAATGTATATATAACAATATTAAACCTGATGTTTGTAGACCTTTTATAAGGTTTTATAGATGATAGAACAATTAAAATACATTAGGGCTGTAACTAATGATTATTTTCTCTGTTAATTTTTTTTGGCTAAAGCTCAAGGCTACATCTTCACATCACCTATTTTGTCTGACTAACAGCCCAAAACCCATATAAACCCATCTCAGATATTCAGTGTACTATCACATAAGACAAAGAAAAGCAGCAAATACTCACAATAGAGAAGCTGTAATAGGTAATGTTAAATTACTTGGTGATTAATTTCCAGTCAATCGACTAATCGGTTCAGCTGTACAACATAATAAGTTAAACAAGTCTTTGCCTTGATTTACAGTAAAGCAAACAATAAAATAAAGTAAGCAAAAACCAATACATTTGGGCTGGGATCTGTGATGGTCTTGGATTTTGTGTAATTTAAAGGAATAGTATGACATATTCGCTTTTTTTGCTTTCTTTCTGTTTGCTTCTTCTTCCTGCTGCAATTGTGTCTATTTGTGCAGATAAGAAGATTGATACCATTGTCACATCTTTACATTAAATCGGAAGCTACAGCCAGGAGACACTTAGCTTAGCTTATTATAAAGACTGGGAGCAGAACAACCGTCCGGGCTCTTCTGAAGCTTGAAAAAACTGTGTCCCCATAAAACCTCAGCTTGCCATTTATACATTTCAGTACCTTTGGACAGAGCCAGACTAACTCTTTCCACTGTTTTCAGTCTTTATACTAAGCTAACCTAACAGCTATAGCTACATATTTAGCATACAGACAAAACTATTACTTTAATATCACTGACAACTAAATATTGCGTATCAGGACTGTATGTGACTCACAGCAACATGTTATATCTTAAATCCTTGCATCCAAATAAGATTACATTAAAACTTGAAAATGTACGGTACATGCTGTATATGCACCAGATATCCTGTTACCTATATATCTAGATCTACACCTATATATCCTCACTTTAGGATCAAGTAGCTAATTTTCGAGTAATTGCAAATTAAACAGTCTCTTATTCGATGACCTCATGATTCTGACACACCTACTGAGCCTCCTGCAATAACAACAAACTTCACTCCCCCTGCCATCAACGTTACTTGCCACTAAAATAGACAGATCCATCACTGTGACAGCAGAATGTATGCAGAGCAGACAGACAAGGACGAGCAGCTGGAGCTCTGTGCTCGTAATGTCTTCTGACTTTAATTTGGTCCCCTCCTGTTTTCCTCTGTCTTCATTTTTCATCTCACATTCTGCCCCAACGTTTCCCCATTTTCTTCTTGCTGCAATTGTGTCTATTTTTTTCTCTTTACCTGTGCACAAATGCACACACACTCATTCATCTATCTACTTTTCTTCCTGTGCAACCCCTTTGGCACCTCATTTTCTCCCCTGCCGTGTCTCGTCATTTTTGCATCCTCCCTTACTGTGCACCTGCTGCTGCTTCCCACCACCCCTGCTCTCAAAATCCCAACACACACACACGCACACACACACACTCTTCCTCTGTGTCCTCCTTTACAGTCTCAGGCCATGAGGATCGTGCGAACAGTGGGTCAGGCGTTCGATGTGTGTCACCAGCTGACCCTGCAGCAGAAAAGCGATGACCAGGAGGATGAGGAGGGGAAGGTGGAGGAGTCGGCGGCAGTGCCAGGTGACTCACATCTACATACACTCTAAAACACACGCACAGAAAATTGCATCCACAAATCCAGTCCGCTCTCCCTCCCGTCTGTGTCTCTCCTTCCCGTTCTCCTTCTGTCACACACACAAACTCAATCTCCTTTCTTCTCCTCACACAGCAACTCACACCCTCCCCAGGTCTCTACCTCCTCTCTCCCTCTTGCTTCCTCCTCTCTCTCACAAACAAAAACCCTGAGCGTCTGCAGAAACAAACAGTGACAACTGCGCACACCTCTCTGAGAAAAGATGTCATTATCCACCGACCATAGCTTTTTTCCAGCAGCTTGCTCTGCTGCAGCTGCAGCTGTGTTTTGATGAGTCGTCCGAGCCATTGATCAAAGACCTTGTGTGGGTTTCTGCCAGTTCTTTGCCTTCTGCTGCTGCTGTCACTGCCTCAATAAACTGAGCTTTGAGCAACACACCACTGGCATTCACAAACGCTGCCAACAAAGACTCTCTGCCATCTGCAAACTTAAAGCACTTTCCGTTGGCCCCCACCTACTGTTGCTGCTCTGCTCTGTAATCCAACCCCATTCTCCTCTATTGTTCTACCTGGTTATTTACCACAATAACGGCTTCCAATGGGAACATACACAATCATATGCATCACACACAGTGCCTCCAAAATTATTTGTGTCCCCAACCTGTCAGCCACTACACACAGAGCAAACAGCACAGCACATGACCCCAGGCATCCCTTCAATCCATTCTTCACACTGCTGCCATCCGGTCGAAGATACAGAAACAGGCATGCTTTGGCAGGAGTTTTGTCCCCACTACCAGTAAAACACCTTAGTAAATGTCATGTGTAGCTGCTATCTATCTATCTGTCTATGTATCTTTCTATCCATCTCAAGATATGTTACGAACTCAAAGTAAAAACAGAATGAAAATCTTAAATTTCTCTGGTCTCTCTGCAGCAAAGAGGTTTGCATTGTCAGAGGAGACCGACCTTGAAGCCACTACAGAGGAGAGCATTGAGTGTGTCTCTTCATCAGACCTGGAGAAGAGCAAAAAGGATGAGGCCCTCTGTAACGAGGGCAAGGTAGAGTATAGAAGCTGTCCTTGATCATTGTAGTGTTGTTCATACAAAGCCCTGCTATTTTCTCAATCCTTTAGAAACACAGGAGTTTTTGTAAACCCTGCAGAGATGAAACGAACCCTGCAAAGTGTAATTTACAGCTTTTGGCAGCGCTCTGCATGACACAGCAACTAAAATATATAACTGCAGCTGACACATTTTCATTGTCAATTAGCATCACCAAACCTGCCATTTATTTTCTCAATTAATCAATTCGTCATTTGGTCCAGACAGTGTCAAAAGATAATGAAAAATGCCCCTCGCAGTTTCCCCAAACTCAAAACAAATTCTTCAAATCACATGTTTTGTCAAAAAGCCAAACATCTTCTATTTATTTTTATTTTAAAAAATGTATGCAAGTATTCACATTTGAGAAACAACAAGCTGGGAATTTTTAGCTTTTTTGCCTAACAAATGATTTAAGGGGCCACTTATGAAGACTACTACTCAGACTATGAAAACAGTTATATAATTGTGCATTTTGAAAGACATGGGTGTTTACCAGGCAGGGAGGGACTAAATGAAAGATGCTATCACGTTGCATTATGGGAAATGTAGGATCCAATATTTTTGTGACTTAAAGTCATAGCCTCTGCTGAAAGTTAGTCCCCCACATGCAATACTAAATCACTCTTCCTTAAAAGTATTTATCCATAAAATTGACTAATTGATTAATCGAATACTGAATTCTGACATTCGAAACCTCACAAAGCGTTTAATACCCATAAATCCCACAATTGAACTGTTTAATTCATGATCACTCTTCAACAGACATGACACAAGCAAGTTCTCAGATCGAGGATTAAACAGGATAAACGCATTGTATTTTGGCAGATCATGTTTCATTTATATATTTCTATATTTTGGGGAAATAATGATGTAAAAAGTCAGAAATGTCCTGTTAATAAATAATTCTGGGACTCTCACTGCACACATGATGAAAGGCCTCATAAGGAACTGCACAAAACTCAGAAAACTTAAGGATGTATAGCGAGCAGCCGTGTCTTCAAGGCTTGTTTGTGAAGAAATCCTCCACAAAGGTCTTCAATATTGATGTGATCGTATGGTTTATTAATGAAAACATAGCAAGGCTTTCTAGCGCTGCTCTGCTAATCCTGAGATGTTGAACAAGCATCTCTCTAATATTTGTCGGCTCATTTTCCAACCAAGTCTCTGTGGCACTGTCAGCTTTATTACCCAAGAGAGAAAACTAGTGTTGTGCTGGCGAGGATTTAATTAATTTGAATTCAGTTGATATTACAACTAATTACATGGTTCCACAAAAGCAATACAATTAGTTTCATCATTTCAATATTTAATGCAATTCTGCCACAATAAAACAGCAGTATTTAATACGTCCAGATCTCACCTGCAGTGTCTCAGTCTCCTGTGTGTAATGTGAAGGTCAAGTGTTCTTCACAGTCCAGTAGTAATGACAAGAGTCCACCATATTGATCTCCGACCTCAGATATAACAGATAAGTCATGTCCTTCATGGCTGCTCTTCCCAAAGCAGCACTCTAACATAATTGCGTGAGTCATAATTCCTGTATGGTCGAACCATCCTACAGCAGCCCGCCCCGTCAACCTGTTTATTTATAGATTGCACTCATTGAATCCCCATTAAAACACCATTGTCACAATTAGATTACATGATGCTACTCTGTATTTTGTATTAGACCAGAGATTACTAGAGTAAAATATATAGCTGGATTGTCTTATCATGCCTACTTTAGATTACAAAATCCCAGTTTGAAGTGTATCTGTAGTTAAAGGCACACCTTATGGCAATTATTCACAGAGTGTGCCCCTTTTTGTTTTGTTTTTAATGCAATAAAACATTCCCAATCCTAGTATCCTGGTGTGCACTGGAATATATTTTTGTTGACTGGTTTACTTTGGTCTGTTCTGTACCAGTTGGAGAAGGGAAGCACTGCTGTGCACAGGATATTTAAAACGAGGGTAAATGGGGTCCCTGGATAGCTCACCTAGTAGAGTCCTCGCTGCAGGGTCTGAATCCAACCTGTGGCCCTTTGCTGCATGACATCCTCTCTCTCTCTCTCTCTCTCTCTCTCTCTCTCTCTCTCTCTCTTTCTCTCTCCTGTCTGTTTAGCTGTCACTATTGATTAAAGGCAATTAAATCACCCCAAAAAATAAAAATAAATTTAAAAAAGAGAGAGTAAATATTGGACTTAAAGGTCCAGTGTGTAACATTTAGGAGTATCTATTGGCAGAAATGGAATATAATATTTATTGGTATGTTTTCATTAGTGTATAATCACCTGAATATGGGAATCGTGTTTTTGTTACCTTAGAATGAGCTGTTTTTTTTATCTACAGACACCGTGGGTCACCTTCCGTGGAGTCTGCCATGTTGAACCGCCATGTTTCTACAGTAGCTCACAACGGACAAACCAAACACTAGCTGTAGATAGGGCCTTCCATGGTGTTCAGTTAGTTGCAATCTGCAAAACACCAAATTCTACACACGTTGTACAAAACATTAAATTACCTCAAGATATTTCCATCCTCACCAAGGTCATGCTTTGGTATCAGCAGCTCAAAATCAAAGACCGAGGCTGTAGAGGCTCTTTATTCTACACTTATCTCACAGTTCAACAGTAATTCAGGTGGAAATCTGTCACAGAAGCGAGAGCATTACAAAATATTCCATCAACAGCAACCTCAATAGAGAACCAACAGCTTCTTTATTGATCTTCCTTTGGTGTGAAATACAACTCCCTCTTTCATTTTTTATACAACTTGATGTGGTAGATGCAGCATTGATCTCTCTCCCTCTCTCTACCTAAAAACTCACCCTGTCCTTTTGCACCAGACAGCTCAAAGAAACCCAGTTCTTGCGCTGTTGAAAGTTATTTTTAGAAAATATTAGAAGTCTAATAACAAATTAAAGTAGCATTTTAGCTCAGTACTGGCAGAGAGAGACTGTCAGCTTTTAAACCACTTCTTCAGATGTGTTTCTACACACAAGCTTTCATGTGAGGTTTTACTTTCCACTGTCCCTCCATTATTTAAGATTGTTGGTTATCTTACCCTATACTTTACCTTTAATTCTATCTACTGTAAAGCCCATCCACAGCCATATGTACTCTTGCTGTGATTTATTGTATTTTGTTAACTTTATACGCTAAAATGCAAGATTCTTGTTTTTTCATATTTATTTTGGCAGCATCTTTGCTGTTGAGGGCTCATTGCTGTGGAGGTTTTTCCACTTCAATGGGCCCTCGGTTCCTTTTATTTCTTGTGATTAAACTCAAAACTGTGGGTGGTTCTGTTACACATGTTTCTATGTGTTCATGGTGGTTTTGAACACTCTGGCTATTCCAAACAAACCATTTTTGTGGTAGCCTTTAAAGGAATGAAATATCTTTCACATTACTGTAACTTCTTAATGCTGTTACAGTAGAAGAAGTAGAGCCCAATTTACTGTCATCTCTGCTGTAGGCGTCTGATGACCCGTCTCTCCTATTGAGCTCCCCCATCCTTGGAGCCTCTGTGTCGGTTCAGTCGGCAGCAAAGGCTCCCTGCTCTGAAGAGCACCAGGTCCAGCTCCTCCAGAAACATCTGCAGCAGCAGGAACAACAGGCACTAGCAGCTTCAGCACAGGTACTTTCTTTCTTTCTTTCTTTCTTTCTTTCTTTCTTTCTTTCTTTCTTTCTTTCTTTCTTTCTTTCTCCCAGTGAAAGTCCTAACGGCATTGGTTGATACAGTGTTTACAGTATAATTCTGAATTGAATCATCTACAAAGCCTACAATACAAATCACACATCCTAAATGGGTCACAAATACATTTGTATAGAATTTAGAATATAGATCAACCAGCTGGAAAATGGTTAACGACATGATATCATTTATATAGCTTTGCTAATCAATATTGTAAATACCAGATTATCAGACTTTGAAGCTGATGTTGCTCACAGACTGTTTCTCTTTATTGATCTGTCTGAGGAGAGGTGTGCAATTCATGGAACTCAGAAGCAGTAAAATCAGCTCCTATTGTTTCCCTCGCTGTAGTTTCTGTGGTTGCCATGGTCACACGCAGAGTCGCCGGAAAATTAAAAGTTGAACCATCATAAACTCCAACAGTAGTGTCAAGAGCAAGCGCTGCCACTGTGTTTACATTGAAAACAATGGACGCTGTCTGGAAGCACCTGAGGAGTTACAGTCATGTTAGTGGTTCTGTTCTGCTGTATTTCATACATTCATGGTACATAGGCACAGCAGTGCTTTGAACATATGTAATGGCAATCCATCTAACAGTTCACTAAAAACCACAAATGGTTGCACCAGAGGAAAAGTCAAGGGATCAATAAAGTCAGAGGGACACATCCCCTGGGGACCATGAATCTCTGTACAATCCTGGCAATCCAGTCAGTTGTTGCTGAGATATTTTATTCTGGACCAAAGTCCTCATAGAGAAGAAAAATTTTGAATTAACAGAATTTAAAGAGCATGTTTATTTGATGAGTTTCTGACAACCCAAAAGAATAGTTAGATATTCAAGTCATATTAAAAATGCACAATCCCCTGATTAATATTATTGGAAAAGTTCATGTTGCTTAACACAATACCCTCTGCTCACATAATTAGACAAAAATCAATCAAAGTAGTAAAAAACAGGAATCAGTGCTTAATCTTATCTGCAGAATGATAATTAGACAGATGCGCTATTTCCATTTTCAATCAGTGGTGTGTTAAATAGGATGTAGCAAGGTATTTCTGGTCATTAAATTCTTACCTCATTCATTCCTCTAAACTTTTACTTTTGAAAAGTTTCACATAAAATACATTTTAATTAAATATGTCTGAGACGTGGTTTCAAGGCCTTTGAAGATTTGAGTTTTGAGTTCTAGTTTAGTTTGGTTGATTCAGTTGATTATTAATGCTGATGTGTGATTTCTGTTGAACCTTTGAGCGAGCAGACTCCAAACTTAAGAGTCACTGTTGGATTTAATCAGCAGGTTTCCTCCTAATGACAGAATGAGTTTTATTAAATCACTGGGTCTAATGAAGAAAAATAAATTAGCATTGTAAATAGGAAAGAATTGCTTACAATGAAACTAGTTTTTGTCCCACCTGTGTGTGTGTTTTGGTCTGTTCAGGTCCATGTGCTCCAGGAGCAGCTGTCAGTGGAGGTGTGTGCGCGGACTGAAGCCCAGGCCAGAGTACAGAGGCTGCTGCAGCAGAACACCGACCTGCTGCAACACATTTCCCTGCTGGTCAAACAGATCCAGGAACTGGAGCTCAAATCTGCTGGCCAGTTAACATCTAGTGAGTGGAAATCTTCTGTTGCTGTACTATTGAGCTTTCTTTTTCATTTACAGTATGTATTACATTTTATTTGGTTGCCTTCCTCTATATCCATGTTTCTCCGCTACTCATTTCTGTAATAAAATCCTTTTCTCCCTCCATCACATTTGCCTCCATCACTTTCTTTCCTTGCCTCCTTCCTGTCGTTATGGCTCCTTTTCTCATCCAATTCTGGCACGCAATTAATTATCCCATGGCAGCCCTCTCAGAGGATTCAGTTCTGCGCTTTGCTCTCCCCTCTCTGTGCTTAGCCCGTGGCAATATGCTGCCTTATAGTCATGAATTATCAAATCCTGTCACCCCACTCCATGTAATCTCATCTGCTTTGCTCTAACCTCTCTCACTTATGTCTTGTATCTCTGTTTACATGTGATAACAAAAAAAATTCTCTTTGCTGTGTTTCATCTTATCATCCTTCTTTTCATATTTTCCCTCCGTCCTTAGTGGGCTCCCAGGACAGTCTTCTGGAGATCACTTTCCGTGCCAAGCCCCCCAGCATGCCCCGTGAACCCCTCACCTCTTCTTCATCTATGGGCGCTTTAGCAGCTCAGTCCCTGCTCCAGATTAGTGACGGTGCCTGGGTCTCCACCCTCCCCGGACCCTGCTCTCCAGGCACCATGGGCACCAACACCAGCCCTCTGGGGCTCGGCAGCAGTGGAGTTCGGCTCGAGTGCTTTCGCTTCTCATCCCGGGGGCCGGATAGCCAGGAGCAGGGCCAGGACACAGGGGAGACTCCCAGCGACGGGGCCCCGGATGAAAGCTCACTACTGGGGGAGCAGGTCCTGGGAGCCCTGGAGCTTCTCCGGTTTAGGGAGTCTGGGATCGGATCGGAGTACGAATCAAACACAGATGAGAGCGATGACCGGGACAGCTGGGGGCAGGGGGAGGGAGCGGGGGCTGACGGTGCTCCTCGACTCTTAAACGTGCTGAATGCAGAGAGTCTGCCGGACTGCTTAGGGGATGAGATGGCTGTGTAGCGGTGCTATTGATGCTGCACAAGGAAACATTGCACTTATGCGCCACCCCAGTGGGTGAGAGAGCGGTAAAATTCAGAATGTGAAGGACTTTATTACACAGAGATCATGTATTGTGACTTCAGTAAAATGAAATTATTTGTGTCTTGTCCTGGACAGAGTGCTCACTCACTATTGTTCTGGGTAACGTTTCGAATCTTACCTTTATGTTTTGATTTGCTACTTCCTGTGCACTGAAAAAAGGACCCACTTGCTGTTGTGAGTGGTGGAACTCATAAAATCAAATAATAAAGAAAGTTGAATTGATAAATTTTACATTGAAAAACTATCTTGATTTGGTAAAAAATGTGATTAATCAGTATCATTCATCACATGTCTATGACTGGCATGTTCACTGGCAGTGCATGTTAATGTTAGAAATACACACACCAAATAATACCAATATTAAGTTATAATAATAGAACAGTCATTAACCATAGAGATGTTTTACAAATCAAGCTTGTTTTGATCAAATCAATAACATCTTTATCAAGTAAATTTAAACAAGAGTCTACTGCATGCTATGATTTGCCAACTAAAGTATCAGAGAAATTGAATTTTTTAATCTGAGAGCAAATCATCAAACATCAGCCCAACTGCACCTCGATAAACTGTTTTGCAATTAAAGGTTTTGAGCCGCACACACTGGACATTAATTACTGTAATTCTGAAAACTAAAACATACCTTTTGTATTTCTTTGTTTCTCTGCTCCATTGCAGCTCCAAAGCCAAAAGAAAACTACTTTGACCACGTCTTATACTCGTAGATATGTCTTTGACACAGTGCAGCTTTATTCAAACCTAGGACTGTCAGATAGTATTAACACTTTGGTGTCTGTGTGTTACATACTGTGTGCCTGTCAGTTTCATGATTGTTGTACCTTACATTTGGTTCCCTGAGTTGGTGCCATTGCCCGTCACTGGACTCGTTACACTGTGGTCGTGTCTGTGTTTATGGATTTGTGACACATCTGGCATGGACATGGTCATTTTTGCTGTTTTCTAATGAAGATATATGAAGAAAAAGACCCCTTTGCCAAGTCTGTCTGGATATGCTATGAGTGTGAAAGTTAAAACCTTACTGTGCTTGTTATGACACTTAATCTGTAATTACACATGGGTTTAAAATTTAGCATGTATCTCTCACAGTATGATTTTCTTGTATACACTACATTGTATATAGTTTGACTAACTTATATGCATTGCATAAAATACATAGCATGACTTTGTTCATACGCGTCTTCATCATGTTTTATATTATTGAAGAACATTTTCTGATGAGGTGATCCTGTGTTTCAGAGGGAAACATCTCACTATGTGCAGGTGCTGCTACAGATTTGTCTGTTTTAAAGTGTAGCCACCACGTACTGTAAGTATTATTTGTTGATGCCGTACTGCGACAACCATAAACTGCTGTTTCACTGTTGCTCCACCCTTCAGATGAACTGTTTGTGTAGTACCTGTTCAGATAGAGGCGTATGAGACTTCTGGACTCACTTCATATTCTTCTGGCCAGCTGTCGCAGCAGCTCCACCTCGCTGACTGTGAGCCAGCTCTTTGAATCACTGAATTGGGGACGTGTCTTTGAGCTCTTTCCAAAATCGATTAATCTCTTCCTGGCCCTCCTCTCGCTCTCTCTTCCTCTTCCTTACTCACCTTCCTCCCCTCTTTTCCCCAAAGCTCGTCACCTCTCTCTTGCACTCAATCTGTCTGCTCTATCCTTCTATCCATATTTCTCTGTCAATCTGTCATTGCTCTCCAAGGTTATGTCTGTTCCCATGAAGTGTACTAAAAATTAAAGTGCACTTAAATCAATGTTTCTCCGTGTGGAATTACATGCTCTTTCTCGAATGCCGTCTGGTGTCATGATATGTTTACTGCATTTGGTGTGAGTTACTAATTGCTGTAATGAATCAATGGGCGATTTAACTGAAATATGTCTCTAACATAATGATAACCAGCACCAGTTCCTGGGCTGACCTTTTCAAAATGTTTCCCTCATTAGTATTTATAATTGGCTGAGAAAATGAGATGTGGACATGCAGAAGGTCTTTTGTGAGGGTGATGGCACTCTATTTACAACAGGTGTGGTCATTATACAGGGTCATCTCCCATTAAGCTCACTGTGTGTGAAGACAGCAGCAGCTTGATGTAACGCTGCAGATAAACTGGAAAATATGAAGAATATCAGCCATTACCCACCCACATTCAGCCACGACACCCTGCAGTTCCGCTGGTGCAGCTGCTGCTGACACAGATAGTGGGTGGCCTCCAGGACGTGGCCTCTACTTTCATTTGCTTGATTATAATGAAAAATGGTCATAATGTCATTTTACACACCATCTCTTGTATTCTGCCGGTAAAATACATTAAAAAAACATTGTTTCACTGTGCCTGCAGTGTACAGCAGACTAGCACTATGGCTCTAGGGATGGCACTGATGATCCACCACTTCAATCCAGACTGAAATATGTCAACAACTATTGGGTGGATTGTCATAGAATTTCATCATCCTCAGGGAATAAATCTTAATGACTTTGGTCTTCCCTATGCTTGTTACGGTCTATTATTGCAGAATAACAGACATTTGCTATGGATGCAGTTCTGAATTTAGACTGCAGGACCACAGCGAAAACAATAACATAAATTTTAAATCAATATTTTGTGTGAAATTATTAATTTCTTTAGTAAGTAGCCGTGTAATAAGTGGGATAATGTACGGCTCACGGTACATTATCATTACTCATTTATTACATAAAGACTGAATTGGCACAAAAACTGCACAAACATTCATGGTTCCTATATTCTCTTCTTATACTTTCTTGTACGTTAATATTAGCAGGCTAACACACTCAGCTAAGATTGTGACCATATTAAAAATTAGAATTGCTAAACATCAGCATACAAGCTGACATGTTTGCATGCTGATTAGCATTTCGTTCAAAACACCACTGTGCTTTAGTACAGCTTCACAGAGCTGCTAGCATGGCTGTAGAGCTTGTTAAAACATCCACTTTCTTTCCCAGCACAACATTACATATTAATCCTTTTTCCAATCAAACCTACCACTCTCCTACAGATGTGAGTGAGTCTGAGAACCCCCAGTTTCTGCCTCGGTGTCATGAGGCTGGCAGCAGGGAGACTCATGAATCTTTAAATCTCTATCTCATTCATTCATTTCCTGAAGGAAAAATGTATATATTTTATGGGGCTTTTCCCCCTTTATTACATAGGACAGCGGAGGATAGACAGGAAAGAGTGTAGAGAAAGAGAGAGAGAGGATGACATGCAGCAAAGGGCCACAGGCCGGACTCGAACCCTGACCGCTGCAGCACGGTACGTGGGGTGCCAGCTCTAACAGGTGAGTCATCCGCCTGCGCCACACTCCTCACATCAGTCATGTGTCATGATGGCAGAATGATCTCTTCGTAAAAACCTATTAAAGAAATAGTTTCACATTTTGGGAGAGTAGAAGGTTGATACTACTCTAACGTCTGTAAGGTAAATATGTAGTTGGAGCCAGCAACCAGTGAGCTTAGCTTAGCATAAAGACTGGAAATGGGGGGAAAGGTAACAAAATCTTCTTATTTCTAGCACTGATGTACACTAAATATGAAGCTACATCCAACAGCAGGTTTGCGTAGCTTACCAGCTGCTGTAGCTTCATATTTAGCATATCAAGATATTGATCTTCTCTCTCAGCAAGAAAGCAAACAGGCGTGTTTCCCAAAATGGGGAACAATTATTTTAAATGAATGTGAACTATTTATGTAACTTTCATAATGAGAACAAGCTGGTAGTGATTAGCACTTAGCAGTCAGCGGTCAGATGCACTGAAAACCCTTCACGGTGTTTTTAAAGAAAGACCTGTATAAAAAAGGAATTTGTGGCTTTCGATATACATTCTTTGTTTTTCTGTTTCTTTCCTATTGCCATTACATTTATATCAGCCTTTATTTTTATACACCCTGGAGGAAGCCTTTCATGGTTACTTGTGTTGCTGCAGCAGCAGTTTAATTACTGTCAAAAACTAAAACTTTTTTAGTGTTTATTCTGTTAAATTCATGCCAGTGTTATAAGTAACTGTAGACATGATACTGAAAATATGAATGTGATCTCAAAGTCTCTGTAAAACTCTTTGTATTGTAAGGTTATATGAAAAAGAAAAAAGTTAGGAGACATTGGTGCATAATTTGCAATACATATTTAGTGCTTTTTCCATTCCACCAGATCATTGTGATTCACATATTGATTTATGATAATCAAAACAGGCTTCTGCCTTCTTTCTGCTATAGCTGTGTCCATTTTACTTTTAATTCCAGCTGTGACTCATCTTGTTTGTATCCAGCAAGTTTTTTTCTAAAACATCATGTCTGCTTCAGTAATTAGCAGGTTGTCCTCTGCAGGAAAGTGAACTCCAGTCTGTTTTTGTCAGTAGCTCTTGGTGGAGGCTGCCAGATACTGCTGCTCTCAGCTGCCTCTGTGGGCCGTAATTGAAACCATTTGTGGATCAGGTGGAATTCTGGGATTTTTTGGCCTCTCCTCAAAATCCAAAAGCGTGTTATTTTCTCTGTTTCATTCCTCCAGCCAGAAAGACTCTTACATCAGCCTCCGTTTCCTCTCCCTCTCCCTCTCTCTCTCTCTTTTCCATTCCCAAAAAGTCCTTGTGAGGAGGAGGTCAGCGACTCGCAGCGCTGAATGCATCAACTCTCAGTAGATGTGGAATATTCCATGAAATAGATGGTTTCGTAATAACGAGAGAGGAACTTCCAAAAGTAAGTCAAATCCATATTTTTCTCATATATTAAACCAAGTATCCGCTTTGACTTTGCAGGAAGTGTGTGTCAACTCAGCTCAGTATGGAAAGTGCCCTCACACAGGAAATACATTATACAAGTTGAAAATAAGCTCAAGAAATAGGTCTGTCTCACCACACATATTTTAGCTTTATTATTTTTCATTTTATTTTAACTCAAAAAAACTTGTTTTTCCACTAGAAGGTTAGTCAGAGATCATGTCAGCTCTCCAGAAATGGAAACTCTACTGAGAAATACATTACAGACATGGGTTTTTGCTATTAAATGCAGTTCTTATTTCCTTTCATGTGCATATGTGAGAAGAAAAAGAGTTATAACATGTTATACTATAGTAAGACTAAATTTTATACACATCACACTGACACAGAACAACATTGTCCTCCCGCATCTATTGTGAACCGACCACGTGAAAGACTGTAAGTGGCGTCTCTAAACGATGCTCTAAGTTCTATTATAGTAAAAGTTCCTATAGCTCTATAACACACCAGAGTGAGCTATAAGTCACTGAGACCTTCGCAGGGCTTTTACAAGGTAAATAAAATGCAGCAGGTAGAGCAAAACTCCTTGTAACTGGGTTACAAGGAGGACTGTGTGTGCATTTACCACTGTAGATCTCACCAGGGTTTCAGGGATGTTCAACTCTATAGAACTATATGTTCCTACTTTCCTGAAATGTAACTATTATATTACATAAATACATTAAATGTTCTGCCTTTGTTTTTGTTTTTTACTCTTTATATTTATTATTTTTTAGATTTTATTTTTCCAGTAATTATAATTTGTTACAATTAGTCTTTTAGCACAGCTTTAAGAGCACAGCAGTGCATTCTTAGGACACATATTGTTTGTGTATGTGTCAAATAAAACATTTGAAACATACAAAATCTAACTATAAAGGACGGGATTTGCTGTGTAAAATGTGCTGACATGAGATATAAAAACCTAAATGATTTCTTCTTTTTCATTACCTTGATGTTTATGGCATGTTGTACTACTACTGATCTCATCCACTGATCTACAACCTTGCTGAAACTTTTAGGTGTGCAGAGAAGAGATGAAGGTCATGAAGGTTCTCTCTCTCTCTCTCTTCTTTATCCTGCTGGCTGCCACTGTACGATCTCAAGTCAATCCAGGTATAGGAGATATTAATCTTTTACATCTATGCCATTATTTTTTCAGAGCAGGTGGAGGTTATGTATTTTGCTCAAGGACACTTTGCTAGGACATGTTGGTCATTGTCTCCATGCACACGCCAGTCAGACAATCAATGAAATAAGGGGTTTCATTTTACACAGGTTTAGTGTTTAATGTGTGAGCCAGTCAATGCGGATATGTCATATATACGCTTAAAATAACTTCTTCTTATTCCTGAGGGACAAGCATGTTGACAAGATGGAGAAGGAAAGCAATTTTAGGTGGGTGGGCTTAGAACACAAGAATGTAATGTGTGTGTGTGTGTGTGTGTGTGTGTGTGTGTGTGTGTGTGTGTGTGTGTGTGTGTGTGTGTGTGTGTGTGTGTGTGTGGGTGGGTGGGTGTGTGTGTGGGTGTGTGTGTATGTGGTTTACCTAATGGTCAGACAGCAAATATCCTCAGAACAGGCAGACCATTCACAAGCAGGGGGCATTCGCGGAAAAAAAAAAAACAGTTTGAAAATTTGTAGGCGTAGTTGTAGGTAACACACACACCTACACACAATCTCTCTCACACATACACACAGACACTCACATACATGACTTTCCCACTTAGAATATTTTCACAGTAAAAGGCTTATTTGTTCTGTTGCTCTCTCAAAGTACATGTCAGGCGTTTCGGAGTGGGAAGGTGAATAAAACACAGACGTCCCTTAATTACCAGCTAGTGATGGTAAGAATAAACAGAGACGCTCTGGTAGATGCAGTGAGCAGATGTACAGTATGGTCACTGAATCCTTTTAACACTATAATGTAGCATCTTTCATTGTCAAAAATCTTTTTTTGTTCACATGCAAAATAAGAGTT